TTTTATTTTACATAAACACTTGCATCAATTATTGATTTTTTTTATGTCAAAATTGTTATTTTGCCATTTATTTTTATCCATTTATTAGTATCTATACTAGTTTCAAAAATAATTTTGAACTTTTAAAGGCAATTATAACATGATGTTGACCTGGGTCAAACCCGGGTCAATTAAATCATGACCTGACCCGTCCCATTTGGGTCAAACCGACTCGTTTTAGAGCTTTATGAATATCTAATTGAAAGATTAGCATGATTTAGCTTATAATTTTTGTGAACAGGTCAAGCATCAATACAATCAATCCTATTATTACAACACTCTTTATTATGAATTATTATGATATATAATCAAGAATCTATGTATTAATTCTATATTTTATCATTTGTGTAGCTTGTATCAAATTAAACAAATTATGGTTATGCTAAAACAATGTCAATATAAAAATATAGTATAAATAATTCATTGCTCCATCTTGTATACCCATGGTTCCATATGTTTAACTATCTTCATTTTTTCTGGACATTCTCCCAGTGTGGGATCAACCCAAGCAGTCAATAATTGCTTAAAGCTATTTGTGAGATCTAATGATGAGGTTGTGGGGTTTGATGTAAACTGTTTCAAGCAACTATAGATATTTGAAGATAATCCAAATAATGCAAGTGGCTTCTGAAAATGTTCATGGAATGCTGTGATTTCAGCATTTGAGACATCATTATTGTCATCAATTCTAAACTTCTTAATAAAATTTCGCTTGTTTTATCATCATCTGTTTGATAATCTTTCAAAACTTCTTCAATTTTATGCTTGCACAAAGCAATTTGACATGTTTGAGGTGATTTAAAAAATTCTGTTGGAACATCAATAAACTCTTTTGTTGCACCTAATTGCAAATACAATGACAAAAATGGCATATGTGGAAGTTCCTCAATGCCTATATATGCTGGTGGCGGTGAAGCTGTTGCAGAGAGCGGATAATCATCACCTTTATTATTATCTGTAGACCAATTTTTAACTTGTATTAGTACATATGAAATATGATCTTTGCTAAGCTTTTCATGAAGAGCGCCTATATATATATAGGTATAATGATATCTACTACCCGTTGATTTCATTTACATGAAAATGCAGTACCACAGATCAGAGCATCACTGAGACTTTTCCTATCTGGTGTATATGTAATATTGATAAAGTGTGTAAACTTAATGTATGCTTCACCAAACTTTGTTCCTGTAAACTTTACTTGTTCTTCAAGGTGATTCTCTATTCTTCTATAAACATCATCTGTAAGTAGTGATTTAAAAAATTAATTCATAGTCACAAAATGAGAATAATCATTGCCAACATCTGTGCTATTTGGATGTTTCTTTTTATTACAATCATCCCAAGCTTTAAGAAGCAATAATCTGGCAGCAAGTTCTCCATGGTAACCAGCCTCTATTACACCTTTCTTGAGTGCTGATGAGAGCTGATTAATAAGTTTTGTGAGGTTGACATTTGAATCATTCATTATCTGAGAAGCTGCTTCTGCCAGCACAGGTTCAGTAGGCATTGATGTAATAATGCATTCACGATCTTCTGAGATATCAAGACAAAGGTGCATATAACTTGCTATTAAATGAGATGCATATCTAGATTGTGGCACTATGTCAATACATAAATGAGGTCCAAAGATAGCCAAAGTTTCCATAATAGTAATTCTGTTTTGAGCTTCTTTTTTCCAAAGAATGAAAGACTTCCCACCAATAAGCTTATCCATGGCTAATTCAATAATACATTCTGGTTTGAATCCTTCAGTACTGCTAGGTGTTAATAGTGCATCCCACAAAGGTCTTCCATACTGAAAAAAATGATGTGGATCTTCAGACTCTTTCAGTGTTTGGTACTTTTTTAAAATTGGTATTCACATCCACAGTGTCTAACAAATAAAATGGCTCAAATAATTGAGATCCTCTTTCTGCAACCCTTTTTGACAGATCAAGGTAGGAGACAGGTGAGAAGTTTGAAATATTTGAGTGAGTATCTGTAAAGATTGCAAAAATTCCTATCTTTTTGGGTAAATTTTTAAAGCACAATGAATATACATCAGGAAAATGAGTACAAATATTATGTGTATATAATACGCAATTGCAGGGATTAAGCATATAATATATGTACAATTTGCATACATAAAAAAATATGCGATTTGTATGCATATTATATGCTTAATCCCTGCAATTGTGTATTATATACGCATAATATTTGTACCCATTTTCCTGATGCTAGAAGAACAAGGTTTCCTTTTCAACCTTCTTATTAATCAGAGCACAAGGCTTCATCAAATGCAAATAGACATTTAACTGAACTTTCTTGTGTTATCATTCTTTCTTCATCTAAATATTTATTGATACCTTCAGTCATCTTACCATCTGTAGTGCTTTTCATAGGCTCACATGTGATATCAGTCATCCTGCATTCAATATCCTTCCAGAAATTCACCTGTGAATTTTTGCCAGTATGCTCATCAATCCATTCTTTGCAACTCCCCTTGAATTCCTTCAATTTTTGAAAACATGCACATATGTATGCAAGATAGGTGACTAAGACATCCCGTTCATTTCTCAAACTCATGTAATAGTATATCAGCAACATGTGATCTGGATGGATAGCCACTTGATTTGGAGTCATGCAAACAACAATACACTGTCATTTGGTTTTCTGCAAAATTCTTCAATAATTTTGATTTTCCTGTGCCACTGGGATTGAACTAAGGTTGTGTATGGTGGATAATATTCTTTTGACATTTCATATTCACACAAACAATTCTCAATAAAGTTCATAAACCTTTTTGAAAGGTCACTTGGATCTTGAAAAGTTCTATCAAAAGCTTTATGGACAATTTCCTCTTCTTCACTTTCAGTACTATCCACCAACAGCTCTAATATAGAATGTATGAAAAACATTAAATTTCCACTGATTACATTAAATGAGAAACCATCATATAACAGTGCCACACTTGACCAACTTACTTGAATCCATGTCCATTGTCTCTAACTGGTATAAGTATAACAAGTATCAGAAAATAGATGAATAAATTAGATAAATGAATTTTTTATATGGTTCACAAAGAATATATAAAACAGTAAAGGTTTTAATTCTCTTTTCCTGTATAATCTACTATTTCCTCCCTTTCTTTCCATCATCTGGCTAGCAAGAGGTAAAAACCAACACTTCAAAACAGCAATATATATTCACTCAAACAAATAAATAAATAAAATGAAATGAACGCAAAAATAATTATAATTTTTTGTTTAATTTTTTTATGCAATTTGTTCATTACCTTCCCCCCACCAAATTCTACTAATGCATCTTGCAACTTCTCCACCACCTATCTTCCACGTTCTTCACCAGCTTCTCCTCTTTCTCTTCCAGTCTCTTCTTCTCCTCTTTATCATCTTCATCAAGTTCTTTCCTCTTTCTCCTCAACTTCTTCAACAACATTCCATTGTCCTCCCATTCTTCGAATTCCTTCAACTTATTCTCTGCCTTTTCATGGTTTTTAATTGCAATATTTAATTGTTCTTTAATTTCTTTGTACATTGCCATTTAAAAGATTGTAAAATTAATTTTAAAAAAAATTTTTTTTTATTGATTTGTGCATAATTTCAACCAATGATAAATTAGTGGGCACATGACTTGGAATTTATTTTTACGGACAATGATTAATTGACAATCTGTGAATGAATCAGTGAGATGTTGATCATTTTGTTATGAAATTTTGTTGCCAATTATTATTAATAAAATAAGAAATTTCAGTTATTTTTTAATTTTACTGTAACAACATATAAGTTCATTTGATAGGTTTCATTAAAATAAAAATTTTTTTGTTGATAAACCAATAAAAAAAAAGTATAATTTTGGTCAGAATACTTTTTAATGTTGGCTGAAAGTTAAAAAATTCCGAATTTTTATATGTTATTGATTTCTTGAAATCTCGGTGACAAGCATACAAAAGTTTTTGAAGAACACTCCAATCCCTTTAATATTTTGACATATTATTCTATGAGATTTACTTACACATTCATAAAAAGAGCAAGATTTGTAATACAAAAATATTATGATTTATTATTTGTTAAACATTGTCAATTGATGATTTTTTACCATTTTTGCCCCACCGATCCTATGGATCATTAATTAAACAATAAAAAGAAAATTACAATAGAAAAATACATAAAAATATAAGTTAAAAAATCGTCAGACTTCCATGGGAGGACCCAAAGCCATTACCTATTCTTTGGGCACTCAGACAAAAATCCAACTTTCACTATTACTACTACTATTATTAATTTTGATAATATCATTGTTAATATTCATATCTTTGTTGTTTTCATTATCTTTTTTATCTTCACTCTCTACTTCTTTCATCTTTTCTTTCTCAACCCACTGTTGGATTGCTTCTAGGGTTTGTTTTTTGTTGATAGAAATTTTTAACAATAGAAGCAGCAACTTTTTTCTCACCAAATAATTCACGAATTTCCATGGCCATTTTACCAAATGAAAAATTGGGGTTCAACCCAGTTGTTTTGTCAAATAATTGCTTGAAATCCTTTCATATATTTTCTATTTCTTGTGAATATTGTTTATCACTAGTAAGTTTGTCTGATTTATTTTTGAATTGGCTTTTACTTGGTTTTATTTTATTGATTATTTGATCAATTTTTTGATTTATAATAATACAAAATTGATTTCTGTAAGTTTTATCATGAAATAAGAAACCAAGGAATGATCGGCAGTCAAAAAATTATCTATATACTAATACTGTATCATAGTAAAAATCATGTTACATACACTCTACCCTTAAACGGAAAATTTTTTAAATTCGTGTCACCATTAAATGTCACGTGACTCGGAAATTTTATTGCATTTTTGAACATAACTCATAGTGCAGGTCACTTAGTCCCACAACTTTCTGTGCCACGCCACCAACTTTGAGAAAAAATTTCCAATCAAAAATGCAGTAAAAATTTCACAGTCACATGATTTTTGAAAATTGTCAAGTGCTAAATAAATATTAATATATTAAAATTTTTCTTTTACATTCCTATATGGGGGATGCTGCAACATAACCAGACAAAGTGAACATTTGTATTACAAAGAATTCAAGGATTGAAATTTGTAATAGCAATAATAATAGTAATATTACAGAAATCAATACAATGAACATATCTAATTTGTAAACATTTTTTAAAGTATAAGAAATTAATATTAATAAGTATCCTAACCCTCCCCTAGATTTGGATTTTTTTACTTTGATCTGATCAAATAATTTTTGACCAATGTTCACAGTATACATATTATTATGAAATTTTTAATAACATGAAAAAAATTTTTTTTTTTGATTATTTTTATTTAAGAGCTTATCTCAATGAGTAACTAAATCACACCAATTTAGTACTTTTCCATGGATCCAATGTCTTAGAATATTAAATATCAAACAAGTATCAGTGATTAAATCACTTTGAAAATATCCTTCATTAGTGGCACAATAGAAGATCCATTTCATTCCATCTGTTATATAGATGCTGGTCACAATTCTTGGTGATGGTTGCAACCATATTTGCGACATATAAAAATGGTTTGCAACACCTGGTTGCAACCACCTTTGTGACCACTTTGGTTTCCTTTTTTGAATTGTGACATGGAACACTAATCTGTTAAAACTACATGTGCATTTTGATTGCTGGTGATTAAATCAAATGATGAGATGCATGAAATATAAATCTATGAACAAAAAAAAAATAAAAAAATAAACTCACTTTTTATCTTATTTTTTAATAATGTTATCAACTCTGCAAGTGTTTGTGCCTCCCCAGTATCAATTCTCCCTCCATGTTTGGCTTCAATAATGGTGAACAATGCATGTTTTTTAGGTTTACTAGTGCGAGCATGCAATCCGAGTTTCCTAATTAATAAGTTATTTATAGCTCAACACACAGCCTACCTGCTGACTTACAGTTGATTCTATTGTTTGACACACAGCCTACTCAATGACTTATGGTCAATTTCCTTATTTATATATATATGACACACAGCCTACTCACTGACTTACAGTCAAAGATTAACTTTTATCCTCCTGGATAAAAGGGTCCCTAGGTTCTGTATATATATGTAATTATATCCCAAAGGCATCCCCTTGAGATGTGTCTCAATAATTAAAATGTTGGTTATTTGCTATGGGTAGCAAAGGTTCCCCTTTGTGGTTTATTAATTAATTAGAGATTTATTATTTTAGGGTAAAATATGTTGTGTTTTATTAGTGATAATAGTATTATTATTACAGATGTGTTAGGAAGTATTAATTATTAGATCAATATTTAAAAGATTGTTATGAACATGATGATCTGACTTGGTCTAAAACCAAGTCTTTTTATACCTCTTGGGGTATTACAAATAACATGACTTTTACTCTATTTTGTCCAATAAACTATGCTTATAAATGTAAAATAAATATTTAAGCCAACTGAGCATTACAAATAATAATAATAATAATTTAAAGTAAATATTCGCATCAGCTGAATAAGTTCTTGAAATATAAATAAAGACTAGTGCCGTAAATTATGATGATGGTAGTAATTGTATTTACGGCATATAAAAAGTGGTTGCAATTACCTTTGCGACCACTTTTGCAACCATACTTTTTCCTTTTTTGGATTACGGCACTAGTCTTTAAATATAAATATAGAATATGAATATGAATAATTGTAGGTGTGATACTGCGCGATGTGTAGCGCAATAGTTTCACAAAAATGAAAATAGAAATGATAACATTATCACGTGACTTACGCAGTAATTTGGTTTGGTTGGATCGGCAACGTGGGACTTCTCTATCGGTCCTTATTTTACTATCTCACAATATATAGTTGGCTTAGTCTAAAGACCTCCTAAATTTTGGACAAATTTTAAAAGTATAGAAGTCACATTTTGTCCTACCTTTTAAAAAAATGGCTCTATTAGTTGATAGAATATGTCTTTAGTTTTAATGTAATAGAGAGATTTTCTTAAAAAAAATATTTGTTGTAGAGTTCTATTCTTTTTTAAAACAATTACAAAATTGCTATTTTGAAATTTGGCCGCATGGCACAGCAATATGAGGTCATTAGACCAAGCCAACCACATTATAGGAATATATTGAAAGAATCCACTCTATCAAAAAGACCTCAGTTTCTTCAAGAGAATTATTATTATTTGTGGTTTCAATTTCAGAATTAATCGATTTGACATTTGTAATTGTTTCTTCAAGAGGATCATTCATAATGTCAATTTCATTGGAAATCAATATTGTACAATTAGTGCCTATATAGTATTACAGCATTACCATTACAAAAATAATAACCCACTATTCTTATCAGAAAACAGTGGCCCATAGATTTCCTTTGCTGTTGTAAACATTTTTCATAAAAATAGGCGTTTAATAAAGCAAGAAATTTTTTTTGGAAATAAGCTTTTTTTAAAAACCACAAGGATCTACATAATGCATTAAATAGAAGCGAGGGATAACTCTCTTATCCCCCACATTCGGAGTGGATAAATTTACCAAATCACACGTGAAGTTGTGTCCCCTTGCGGGGCCACAATTCAACGGGAAATTTGGCGTTATCCCCCACTTCGCGGGGGATAACTACTATTTATGCTGATTATACAGTCGGCGCTCGATATAAGAAAGAATTGGTTTTGACAAAAAACTTCACTATATAAAAAGATCGGCAAATTTTACAAAAATCCCGTGATACAACTTTATTAAAATTATAAAAATACATAAAAAAGAAAAATAAATAAATAATATATAGATAATTTCATAAAAATAATTATTTAGTGGGTCTGGGACACTTTACCGACAGGACACTTTACCGACACCCACTTTACCGACAAGACACTTCACCGACAAGACACTTCACCGACAGGACACTTCACCGACAGGACACTTTACCGACAATCTAAGTAAAGTCGAACTTGACGTAGAAATGGTCTTGCGAGGAACACCACGA